GATCCGCCAGCACTCACGGCTAGATTAGCTGGTGGAGCAGTTCGACAAATGGGAGGCTAGGTTTGATTCTTATGTTGTTGCACAGGACCAACAGCATGAGGCAGATATGGCTAGATTTGATGCATACGTGGCTCACCAACAGCAGTAGCATGACCAAGACATGGCGTGGTTTGGGGAGAAGTTTGCTGTTATTTCCAACTTCTTTCAGCAGCCACCACCACCTCCTTCTGATAATAAGGGCCCTTCATACTTGTATATTATTTCCCTTGTGACATTTTATGTGATGTTGTTTATTTCCTTTTTGTATTTTCTATTCTATTTTTCTTTTCTGATTTCCTTCTCCTTTTTGTGATTTCAAAAGGGGGAGTACTGGTAGTGTTTGTATTATTTCATTATATTTTTTTACTACTTTTGCTTAATGTTTGTACCATCTATTTGATTTTAGTAAAATTTGCATTGCTTTGTTCACAATATTTTCCTTCACATTATGTTTCATTTAACTGCTTAAATTGAATTTTCTACAAAATATTTACCATCATAAAAAGGGGAGATTATTACAAATCTAGATTGAGGGATTAAAATTTTGATAATATCAAATATTTCAGACATTTCTATTTTTCTACTATTGCCCAGCCTACTAACATTTCAGGTCCACAAGGTCAATTACAAATCAAGCCAACTCAAGATTAGGTAGATTAGGACTGAGTCAGTCTGTAAGGTTACGTCAAAAGTCTTTACCTTTTCTTGAGTCAAATGTAACAAAGTGGGTTTTGATGCTAGGTAACCTTGCACACACACTCGGGAGAAAAAATGTCTGTTTATAGTTTTCTATTTTTGATCATATCATCCGGGATGATCCAAAATCGTCTTTAACGATCAGTTAAAAATAGAAACCCTAATTAGGGCATCCTGGTTAAGGCGACCAAAATTAAGCAAATTGTCCTGGATGATATTAACATCGTTCTGGACAATATTAACATTTTCCTGGATGATATACTCAAATCAGAAAGAATAAGATGCCAACTCTTCTAGGCATGTTATTATTTTTAGACATCATACAGAACATCATCCTGGACGATTCATTACAATTATGCCTAAATTAGTCTGATGATTAAGGAAAGCAATTAAGGTTTGATTGATCGATTATATCATCTTGGATGATCACATGATCATCTTGGACAATCAGCTAAACAAACCGTAATTTCTTCCTAGACGAATAGAATGATGTTATGGATGATGAGTATGCATTTGAACTAACAGTATGGAATGATCCAAAAATTGTCCAGGACGATCAGTTATTTTTTCATTGTCCAAAATATGAAAAGTCTGGCCAAACAAAACGATGTTCTGGACGACACTTGATGTTTTAAACTAATCGTACATGATGATATGCGTGTCGTCTTGGACGATTACTAATCATCCAACCTCCCCCAGATCATCCTGACTAATTGAGCTGAATTTGTACTGATCGTATAGGATGATCCGTCGATCATCCTAAATGATCTTTATCGGTTTTTGTAATTTAGGACAAATTTGAAGCCCTTCTATATAATACATCTTGTTTATTAAAGATTGTACCTTTTATTGCTATCTTGACTTGAGAGAGAGCCAAGAGGAGAGGGAGAGCTTGGGGGAGAGAGAGAGAGGGAGAGAGAGAGAGAGAGAGAGAGGATCTTGTGAGGGCGAGTTTGTGAGGGTTTCACAACGGTTGCACCAAGCAAGAATTTGAGTCTTCTCCAGTCGTCGTCCCTAGCTCCTTGGAGGTTTTAGAGATGTTTACTTCAACGATTGATCGAGGTTCTTTGCCTTCTTCAGGAGGAAGCGAAAGGAGTCGGGTTCTCTGCCTGCTTCAAGAGGAAGCGAAAGGAGTTGGGCTCTCTGCCTCACAGGGGTCGATGTAAATGAGTTTTTGTACAGGCTTCTCCTCCTTATTGTTAGAGCAAAAAGAGAGTCACTGAGTTTAGTGCAATACCCAAAGGAGAGGCTCCGGGGAGAGGATGTAGGTCAAGTTGACCAAACCTCTAAAAAATCTAGTGTGTTCTTTCTTATTGTATTTCCGCATTTTATTTTTTGGTGAATGATTATTTAGTTTATGTTTTAAAATATTTCAAAGGATCGTGATTTTTTTTTTTTTTTGAGAATTTTTAAAACACCAATTCACCCCCCCCCCCCCACGCACGCTCATCTTGGTTAGCCTCAAGCTAGTTCATAAGGGCTTAACATTCCTAACGAACTTTCACCTAGGTAAACAATGGTCGTGCATCTAACATACATTCTGTGAACAAATATTGAAATAATGCAATAAATGAAAACTTCTACGAGCTATCGTAGAAGACTCGTGAAATGTCAAAAATGCCCTCACACATACACCGTAATATGTGTACACATAGGCACACATAAGGGCAACTGCAATCACAAAATCAGAATGTGTCCTAACGAGCGTGTTGTAGGAACACATGTGACATTTAGAGATGCTACGCTGGTTAATAAATGAACGTAGTTCGAGCCCGATCTTTCTATATGGATAGATGGGAGTCGAACGAAATATCTGCTTTATACGTTCATATAAAGCCTTTAAGGCATTCAACAAACAAAATTCATTAACATAGGTATAATGCCTATAAAACATGATCTTCTACGGCAAGTTGATATAGTCGATAAGGTTTAGTCAATGAATAACCCTATACACCCCAATGATGGTCATTTTGAATGTAAATCTCAACCATAAGGGTTAATTCCAAATAATATAGTTTCAAAATACCCCCAAACTTCCATAAAATACAAGTATTTTCAAGTGACCTCAGAGTCATTCCAATGATGACCGCATTGACCAATGATCTCAACGAGAGGGATAAATTCCAAACATTTCAATTACCATCCCGAACACCCAAAAATCCAAAATCCCAAAAAATATGAAATTCAAATATTTAGAACTGAAATCCAATCATAATACACTTAAAGCAAAATTCATCCACCCTCCGCAATAATTTATCGGGGTGGATAGATTGAAATTTACTTCAGCTCACATGGATCTAATGCATAGTCGAAAATATTACTAGATCTATTCTCAAATAATCTCTTGCCAATAAGGATGTGGTATGTGTCCTCTAACTGGCGATTTTGCAGCCAAATGGCAGCGCAGGATAAACGTTTATGACCTGAGACCCTCTGAATCGAGTGGTTTTGCCGCGAAATGGCATCACATATACCAATTATGGTCATAGCTAGTACGTTCTTTAGTGACATCAAATCCTTGAGATAGATATGAATCAATAGGATATGATCGATAGGGCACAAAGCCCTCGGTTAGCTAAGGTGGATTCAAATTTGTCCCATTAGACAAACATTCACCCCAAGTCTACAAGGTCCCCATCGACGAAGCAACCCATGGCTACCGACAAGGATCCTTCTATCAGGTTGAGTCGACTACCTCCTCTGACTAAGTAGACCGGGGACCACATTGGCCCGGGACGACGTAACCATGGGATCTTGATCGAGTCCATCATCAATTCCCCTGCCATCTTCTTTAAGTGCACGATGGTGAAATTTTCAATTTTAAATATAAAACCTTCAAACTTCCAATACCCAAGCCCATGCTGCTACTATATGCTACATCTATGTATCTCTACGTATCAGATTGACGACTAGCCTTAATCGAAAGTTCTCTCGTGATCATGAGGGGTAATTAATTATAGGGTCTTGCACCTATAGGAAATAAGAACTCAAATCATGAAGTCCTCGAAAAATGAGGGTGAAATCTCTAGGTAGTGTCTTATCTACAATTCCATCTGCCTCCCAAAATTTACCCCAAAACTTAAATCAGTTAAAACTCCCCCGAAGAAATCAAAGCGGACGGAGGCCGGGGTCGAATTTTCGGAGCCCACAAAAGCACATTGAACAATGTTGCAGCACTCGACAATCAAGCATTATGGCGCATAAACAATGATAGACATATTACTAGTCACTTTCTTTGAAAAGAATCATACAAGCCCGACATAGATCTAAGAATTAGAGTTGCTTTGATCCAAAATTTTAATTTGAAGACCAAACTAACATGCATACTTTATCTAAATAATCATAAATTCAATATCATGTGCGTGTGTATATATATATATATTCGCTTTTTCTTCTTACTACAACTAATTTAGAGATTATAGGACAATTTAATGATTACTAAAAGCTACTTAATAAAATTCAATTTCAATGATCATGAGATTGATACTTTCTCACCACTCCATTACTAGAAACCGTACATACCCAATATTTCTCTATTACATCATCATTCTTCTTTATCCTCCAAGGATCATTGCCTTCCACATCCCCATTCTGATGCCTTCAATATCCTACTCTCTTCTCCCACAGAAAGCACGGCGTTCAACATAGCCAATTCGACCTGCTTTCATCCCTTATCTTCAAGCCAACAAAAATAAGTTAAAGCTACCATGAAAATATCGAGTCTTTATATTATCAATTTAAACATACAATTACTTCACTAGTAACAAGTGGGAAATTTTGACAATTGCGAAGGTGAAACCGAGCCCAAATCTTATTTACAAGCATGAGCATCAGATGATCTCCACCGGGCTAAAAGCTCTTGGCGATACTCAAAGCAGCAAAACAATACTAGGCGAATGAAGGTTTAATGATCTACATGAATCCAAATTATAGAACATTATTTCACTGTGCATTTCCTTTTATTTCATAGCTACTTGTAGCCATTCAAATAACCTTTTTATGGAACACAACAATAAAAATTCCTTTAGCATGATAACAGATTACAATAACAGCAATAAGAAATTCACGATCTAATGCTGATTAAAGCCACATCGATAGAATAAAGGATTCGTTTGGAACAATTTTTTGAATTTTGTCCTAAAGCCTAAATAAAAAAAATCATCACAAACGAAATCATAGTTTCAAACAAATAAACACTAGTATAAAGCGCAGTTGACCGCCACTAACATTTTTCATCTATCTCATCAATCAAGGAAAAGCAAAAGAGATGTAACCCGTTTTTCGTTGGAGCATTCTTTAATAAAAAATAATAATAAATAAATAACAAAAAATAAAATCAAAGTAATTGACATCAAATTGAACACTTGAAGCCTACAACTACAAGTTGAAAAAAAAAAAAAAGTTGAAGAACCAAATTTATAAAGAATTAGTCAATCGAGGCTGGAAGCCCGAGTTATTCTTCCAAGCAAGTAATCCTCCACGAAAGTACCATCAGTTGTAAAGCCTGGCAAAAGCTCATTACTGCTTGCAGATGGAGAACCAACCTCTGAATTAAGCAGAACTACGTTTAGATGGGATTTAATATCAGGAATGAAGGTTTGATCATCATCCTCCGAGTTAATAGAGTTTCCTGAATCAACCAGCGATTTCGCCCACTTCACCGAATCTTTGTCTCCATGCAGGAGCTTCAAGACCTATGAGAAGGTGAAATATATACTGGGCATGTTAAATAATGTTTAGATGAAATTGATTATTCTAGTCAGAAGTTCTTGCTTCTATCTGTGAGCCAAGCTGGTAAATGTAGTAGTTTATACAATTTCTTAAACAGAGTTGAAGCACAGAAATCACAAGAGCTGGTAGAAAATAAGGATCATACATAGGGCATTGTGGGTCGAGATTGGGAATCCCTTTTGAGGCAGAGAGAGGCAGCGAGAGCCATCCACTCCATTTGTTCAACATCGTATTTACCATCCAATCTTGGATCCATCAATTCTTGATATTTCCCACTTTGTAGGATTGGCATAGCCTGTCATCAAAATGCCATATTTTACAAGATTTCTCTATGATGAAATAATTGGATTTTGGGAACATGTACTGGTTATTAAAGTCAGTAAAATGAACATTGATTAAAAATTAAGATTAAACACTCACCCACATTACTAGGCTTTGATCACCCTTGATACCCATAGAGTTGATGGGTCTCCTTCCTGAAAGGAGTTCAAGAAGCACAACACCAAAGGCGTACACATCAGTTTTTGTACTGACCTGTCCGAACATAAAATACTCCGGTGCCAAGTACCTGCAACACAGAACCGTTTACTTCCAATTTATCCAAAAAATTATATGCTCAGCTTCATTATTACAAGAGAAATAAACACAGACCCAAACGTCCCGGCAAGATTGTTGCATGATATGTGAGAAACTGATTCGGTTGAGCGTCTAGCAAGTCCAAAATCTGAGAGCTAGGGCATTGGACAAGAAGCGTATCAGCAGGTTAACATAGCGATGGATTTTGGCCAAATAATTAGGATAATTGAATCAAAACGGTACCTTTGGTACAAAATCCTCAGATAATAGAATGTTTGACGATTTTACATCCATGTGAATCACTGGTTCGGTTCCACCATAGCCATGCAAGTATTTGAGTGCCTCAGTGACAGCAATAGAGATTTTATATCTGTCACACCAATTGAGTGAACGCTTGTGCTCTTCTGAGTACAGAAAATGCACCCGATATAATTTAACAAAATTCCAGTGAGCTCAAAAAATCTATGTTAATTTCATACCATGAAGGATCTCTTCCAAGGAACCCCTTGACATGAAGTCGTAGATTAGTAACAAATTGTTGTCCTCCAAACAAAACCCAAGCAAGGAAATAATGTTTTCGTGGTTCAAAGTGGTGATGATATCAATTTCCAAAACAAACTGTCGCATTGAATCTTTAGATGGTTTCAAGGCCTTTACAGCTAACTCTTTTCCATCTGAAAGTATGCCTTTATAAACAAGGCTGCTTCCACCTTTTCCAATCACTCTGTCTACAATGAACAATATAATTGAAAATATAAAAACTATTCCACATATGAGAAAATATTTAGTAGTCAGGTCTTAGGTTATTAGCATTGATTAGTATGGTTATTTACCAACTGAGAAGTTGCAAGTTGCTTGCATAAGCTCAACATAGCTGAAGTATTTCCACCACAATGAATAGTTCTCTTGCATATATTCTCTATTGATTCGTAGGTTGCTCTCTTCAATAAAGAATGGGGATAAACTGTCTTCCTTGTAAAGGCTACAAGCTGTAAATGTATCAGATCTTCTATGCTTACCAACAGAACGGTTAGGTGAACATGTGGTAGACCGACCAGAAATCCACTTTGCTAACTGAACCAATGGTGTTCTGGATCCCTCCATGGATATAGTCCTCCTATGGTTTGACATTGTTCTTCTGGCAATTGACCAGCTTGATACAACCTCATCAGTTGGCTCTTGAATGCCAACTGCAACCGAAGAATTTGAGCATATTGGAGCATCTGATTTGGAATCCAGCAGGCACCCATCAGCCATCACATTTGAAGAACAAGGCGTCCCAGGAACAGTACCGCACACAGAGCACTTCTCCACCATTGCATCTGCAATGGAGTTAACAACTAGATCAATGACAGAATTAAAGCTCAAACAATCATTGAAAACTAAACCTCTGCTGAGAGGGAAAGGCCTATTATCATCAAAAGTGCTACCTTCCTGGCCTTTAATATCCAACAAACAATCTAATGGATCTCCCCTCAAACTCTTCCTATGCAGCAGGAGAAAGTTAGATGTTTTTCCATCGTGCCCAGTCACCCTCCTCTTCACTAAAACTTGATGAAAGTTTGTACAAATTAGAAAGGAAATAAATAATTTAAAACTTAGAGCTCAAATCAAACCAATCAAACCAACCTACAGCTCCTCTTCCGAAAACAATCTTTCCATTGTTCACTGCAACAACGGAACACTCAGGTGGCAGCCTCGTAGCACAGTATTTAGGGATTGAAGTCAACGAAAACCTGTTTTCAAATTTCAAAGGATTTAGAAGAGTTTGCCGAACGGAAAAAAGAGAAAGAGCGGCATAGCAGATAACTGAGAAAGAAAATGAAGAAAATCACCTAATTGCATTACTGCTTTTGGTTTCTCCCAGGATTAAATAAGAGGCAGAGTAAGATTTGGCCTGTTGAACCAAAGTCCTGCGGACGGAGAAGCCTCTGCAAATCTTTATAACCAAATCTATCTATTCAAAATGAAAGAGAAAAGAGGAAAAACAAAATAAGTTCTGGTAAATTCAAAGGAGAGAAACGGCTCAGAGCTCAGAGGCGCCAGCTTGAAGAAGAAAACAATACTTGTATTAGGCTGCAGAAACCTTCATAAGCTCTGCGCATCGGCTCCAACTTGTCCACGTATTGGTCTGAACCATCTGCCGAAGAATGAAGGAAAAAAGAAGGGCTTTTTAGTGAAAGAAAAAGTGAGAAATAGTTGATTGGAGTGCAAATTGACATTACCAAAGGGGTAGGATAAGCGGTGAACGTGAATGGCGACGACGCGATCACCGGAGATAGCGACGTTGACGAGAGTCCAGGTGAGTAGCTCTCTGCTCTTGGAGTCTGTTCTGATGCCCAATACAATTGTTTTCCTATCCTTTCTCTCATCTTTCACCTCTAGGTCATTTATTCTGATTCCCTCCCCTTCCATCCCCTACGACTGTGCACCTAAACTAAGCATATAGTGCTGTCTGTTCTTTCGCTTGTTAGCTTTCATCCGAATAAGATCCGTCCCCGCAAGGGTACTCCACTTAGCTCCCTGTCGCTCTCGCTAGCTTTCTCTCTCTCTCATCGTTGAGTTTTCCTCTCACACCAGCGACTTGTTTTTTTTTTTTTTTTTTTAAGGAAATTTTGAATTTTTTTTTAATATTTTGAAAATAGGGGCAGAGCCTATTCATTTTTTATTAAAAAATTACAAATAGAGGTGATTACAGTATTACACTATAACGGAAAAATTCTCCAGTACTCCCATAAAAGAAGAAAAAACGAGATGAACAAAACCTGGTAAAGAAAATGGTGGACAAGTAAAATTTAGAGAAAAAAATGATTTGGCCAATGGACTTGGGAGTTAAAAGATCTCAATCAGAATAGAGCATACGGATCACGAGCAACAACATCTCCCCTAGTTTCACAAAGACCATCCAAGGGGAAAAGTCAATAAGCACGAAATTATTATCGTCCAACGCCCAAAATTGCAACACCTGCTAGACCTCTAAAAAATATCACAAGAACAACATATAACGAGTCACAAGGGTAAAGCCTGCTCCCAGCAAACCAACTCATAATTGAAAAACCAAGAGTCTCCCTGAAACTAATTCTTGAGAAGAATCAAGAAGATGCCAAATCCAAACTAGCAAAAGCCGCATCAGCACCACAAACTAGAAGCCATAATAGGCTAAAAAATGAATCATTTCCTTCAATGAATTTAAATTTTTCCACTTGGAAGACTTCAATCTGATAGCCCTTAAAATTTTACATCGCAATGATGCGGTACAGCAAAAGTGAGAAACAAATTTCTTTTCATTCCTTTCACGCCAAAGATGGTAAACATAGCTGTTAACCATAAGCAAGTAAAATATTTTGATATTAGGATGCTCACAATTCATACCATCAATGAAATCAAATGTCTGCACTAAATTGGGCCTTAGTAGGAATTCTTGAAAAATATGAATGATTCCAACCAAACACAGCAAAGGAGTAATTGCATACATAAACTAGGTGGGTAGGACTTTCAGGAAAATTAAAACAAAAAGGACAATAACTATCCACCACCTTAATATTCCTCCTAATGAGAGCATAAACCATTTTAAGGCACCCACGAATAGCCAACAAACAAAACTAGAAAATCTAAGTGAATGTCATTTATGCCATAGGGATAAGTGCCACCCAACATCTGCATCATCTTTAAAAACTCTAAGTAGAAATCCTTAAAGGAAGCAGTAGCTGAGTATCCTCATAATAGGCTTTTGAATCCAGCATGTAGAATAAGAATACTAGAGATAGAATCCATAATATGAGGATTAAGGAGTCAGGTAATGTCGAACAGTCACCATCCAGTCCAATGAGACACGCGAGCATCAGAGGAGTAATTTAGAAGATGAGTGATCGAGTCAATTAAGAAAGCATCAAAGAACCAGTTATCGCAACTCAAAGCAATGGGGCTATTCATTGAAATAATGAACTTTAATTTATGCTTGGCCATCTGAGCAAAATTACAGATGCTTTCCCATAAATTAGAAGTCGTAAGCGTGGTGGTCTTCCAATGGGAAGAGTCTAGCAATTAACTAGCTATTGAGAGGGGAAATATCATTATAGAGTTTGAAAATTAAAGAACAGTTGTATACAAATCTGAGAGCATATAGAGATAGTATCCCTAAACAACCTTTGAACACTGGCTTAAGTGTATTGACACAAGAAATAAGATTAAGGTGTTTAGATTGAGTTTTCCCAAAAAATATGAATTTAGCACATAATTTTCCAATGATCTTACAAGAGGTTTTTGGAATAAGCCACATATCTAGTACGCAATAGTATTGGGAATGATGAATTTTATAAATTGCAACCTACCTACAAAAGAGAGAAGACTAGCTTTCCAGCTAGAAAAAAAGGTTAGTGATCTTTTCCAAAAGAGGAGAAAAATCTAAAATTTTGTCCTTGAAAGGGGACATATGGGTGCCTAGGTATAGGAATTTGGTGCATGAGTTGTGAATTTGATGGGTGGAGGTAATCTTATTGGCATGAAGAGTATTTGGAGAAATGATCAAAGAGCTTTTGTCTAGGTAGATATGTAAACAAGAGGAGCCGATAAAATATTTAAGAATTCCTATAAGAATATTACAATATGAGGCCTTCACTTTAGAAAAAATCAGTAAGTCATCAGCATAAATGAGATGAGAGAAGCTAAATCCATCTATATTAAAACCTTAAAAAAACTGAGATTGTGTAGCAGCATCGAGTAAGCAAAATAGAGCATCCATATTTATACATAAAAGAAAAGAACTTAACGGGCACTTCTATTTAAAGCCAAAAGAAGAGGGGAAAAAACCTTCCAATGTACCTTGATGGGGGCAGTGGAGTAACTTAAAAAATTGTGAAAATAATTTTGGACTCTTTCAATCCCTAAACAATGCTTAGATTTTCTTTGATATAAAAATTATAAAAAATTCACTTTATATACACAAGTATACGTTCTGAATCAAGTAATATAATGATAAAGTAGAGTTTCGATCTCACGAGAAAGAATGTTTGCTTATAAATACTAGTACTGTCTACTTTAACTACAATAATTATCATACTCAATAATATTTAGTTTTGTTTTAAATTCAATCACTTAATTTAAAATTAAAAAATAAATAAATGAAATACTATTTGGATAAATTATTTTGGATTAATGGAATATAAATAAAATATATTTCTCAATGATTCTGTTTTATATTGATGTTATTCAAAGCATATACATCACTAACTGCTCAGTCAAGCGTGAAGAGATAATGGATAAATTAAATCTTCCAACCTTAATACCATTCTAAACTATCATAGTTTATTATCCTATGAAAATCTTAGAAGAGTAATAAAGCATGTATTGTTAAAATTCTCTCATGATAATTCATCTCTATAAATTTGATATATTATAAGCACTATGCGTGTGCTTACATCATACCAATCCAACATACATGGTTGTGCTTACTTTATTATTTTATGTTCCGCATTACATATGATATTAACTACACATATGATCACTATATGTATTAAATGAAGACTTGATATATCAAAAATATTATGAAATTATTGATGAAGAGAATTCATTAGTACTCATATTTCATTTACACCATTAATTCAAAATTAAAGTATTTAGCTAGACATTAAGAATGAGTGAAGCAAATTCTATTTCTTTAATACCACAAAAAAAGTACATAAGAAAATATATCACTGGATAAGTTCAATGATCTTCCTTGCAATCTTGATCATTGAACTTACAAAATTTCTTCTATAAATGCAAGCCATACAATCTAATGAATTTTATCTAGTATTTCTCTTAATTCTCTTAGTTATCACTCCTAAGAAAAAATTAGAGAAGTAATATAAAGACTTAAATTAAGAAAGTAATTGAACTCCCTTACTAATATTACAAATGAAATATTTATTGAAAAACATAGAAAATGAATCCCAGCACCATGACACTCGAGATACTTATATTGTGACACCCATAAAATGAACTAATACAGTCACGCTAGAGGGTTTCCTCTGTTGTGGTGCTTGTTGATATGGACCCATTATTTAATGAATCGACGCATCATTTTGCTAGCAGATTATGACATAAATGATTATAATTATAGCATCACGGTGTTGCTGACAGTTGAACGCTGCGGCATCCACGTGGCACTCACCTTGACTTGGCGGCTCTATAAGTTTGGTGATGTAGAACTATGAAGACAAAGATTGGGCTTTGTGGTGGTGACTCCTCTATTGATGCAGTATTGTCAAATAGAGACTGCATTTTGCGACGTTGACTCCTCTAGCACTATAGTTCAGTTAAATAGAGACTATGCACCTCCATACCTAAATTTGGGCACTCTGGCAGTGTTAATGTTGGTTCCACGATAGTATTATGTCTAAAGACATGGCGTTGTACCATACTTAAAAATTTTTCCCATTTCATATATTTTCTTGCATAAGCATAACTAAAATAAAATGTTTTTATTGACAAATTAACACATAAAATATATCAAAATTTAGTCTTATCAATGTACTATTTATCCATATAGAGAAATTGACATCAGATATGCAAACCTTAATCAAGTTAATAAAAGTGGGAAGGAAATCCTTTTGTGCCAACCTAAAGAGGATAAAATCCCATGAACCAGGCTTTTTAATATCATATTTGGCAAAATAAAACTTTATTTGATACTATTCTTAAAAGCCCCAAAATTTCAGTAGCCAGAATGATGTTATCAGTTGATAAATGATTACTAATGAAAGTGGCTTGCTAGGGTGAACATTAGTGTTCATAATGGGTTTAAGTCTATAAGCCAAAATTTTAGCAATAATCTTGTAGAAGGTATTGCAAAGGGATATAAGTCTAAAATCATATACGTTTTTGGCATGAGATTTTTTAGCTATGAGGGTCAAAGTAATGGCCTTCGCACTTATAAGATGGCAACACTTGGACAAAAGGACTTAAAGGCCTTACAAATAGGAGGCCCAACAATAGTCCAGTCTTTTTTTATAAAAGTCAAAATTGTAGCCATCCAGCCCTTGGTTTGAAGAAGAAGAAGAAGATGTAGAAAAGACTGTCGATCTTATCTACTCATCTAAAATTGGCCCTAATAGAAAAGAGGCAAAGTATTGCATGAGAGTTTTTCTAGCAGGAATGAAGCTGATATCTGAAAGGAGGGGTGGAGGAGAGTTGAATAACTCTTTAAATTGTTGAATACTATCATCATTTACCAAATTTTGGTCAAAATTTGAGCCCAGCACTGTTGCATAAAATTTTGCCCATTTCATGTCTTTTCTGGCACAAACACAACTAAAATAACATGTTTTCACTGATAAATTTGAAAGTTCGTTAGGCATGTTAAGCCTTTATGAACTAGCCCGAGGCTAACCAAGAGGGGGGGATAAATTAATATTTTAAAAGTCTTTTAATCAAAAATATGATCACATCCAAAACCAAAATTCACCATAAATAAAATCAAAGTGCGGAAAATAAATGCGGAAGCAGAAATAAAGAACACATACATTTATAGTGGTTCGGTCAACATGACCTATGTCTACTCCTCGGAGGCGCCCTCCGAGTATT